ACAAAAAGTAAGCAGTTTGGTAAATAACCACTTAGTGGTCTTAAGTGGTCATTTACCAAATGATTATCAGGTAAGCACTTACCAGCAAGAGTCATCACTTTCACTTATCTTATGGAGTTGACATTCCTTGCCATCAAAATGGATTGATGGTAAGCATTTAATACCCGGTAAGCACTTACTGGCTAAGACTCTTGATCCTTGTCTTCCCTTTTATCGAGTAAGATTTTCGGTCCTTGTTATATTTACTCAATGAGGTAATTGAATCGATAAACACTTACTAAGGTAAGTGTTTAGTAAACGACCACTTAGCGTAACATGTGAGTTAATCTTAACAAGGGAGAAAGAAAGATTAGTTGGAAGTTAAAAAAAAGAAAAAAATTGTAAACCCTTACAAAAGTCAACAGAAAAAAAAAATATATATATATATATGGGTCATTCAAGGAAGAACTGATTAGTTTGTGGTAACTGTGAGATCCAATCTTAACCACAAATTAACGGATAAATTAGGAAATTAATAATTATGGTAGTTTGAGTTAAAATTATAATTAGAGGGATTTTTAGGTATTTTTAAAAAACTCCTCTCTCCTCTCTCATCTCTCTGACCTCCAATCTCCGGCCTCTAGTTAACATTAATCCGGTAGGTACCAAGTAATCACAAAGATACACAATGTGATACTCATTGTAATATATTGCGATACCATTGTGATACCAACTCAAACCTTAAAAACAAAGATACATAATGTGATACCTATTGTAATACACAATGTGACATACATTATGATATACTGTGATACTGATTTCACCTGAGGCCGGAGATTGGAGGTCGGAGAGATGAGAGAGGAGAGAAGAGAGAGGAGTTTTTGAAAAATACCTAATATGCACTCTAATTATAATTTTAACTCAAACTACCATAATTATTAATTTCCTAATTTATCCGTTGATTTGTGGTTGAGATTGAACCTCACAGTTACCACAAACTAATCAATTCTCATTTGATTAAGCCCAAAATGTTTCAAAAAATGTAGGTGATTTTTATGTGTCCAACTATAAGTCTCCTACCAAACAAGATTTGCATTCAAGTTGAACACAACACATATATTTGTTTAGTCATAGTATTGAACACGTATTAATGTAAACAGGGTGAAAATAAGGTCCTATTATTTTAGATTGAACATATATTTTTACATCATCAACATGTTTAGCAAATATCGACAACAAACTCCAAACGAATACCTGGTAAACAAATTTAAAGGGTCCGCAAATATATAGAAAACACAATAGAAGGAAGAGATCAAAAAAACAAATATATATCTAAAACAAACAACAACGAGAAAATAGAGAATGAAGCAAATCAAGGAGAGAACGAACCAGCAACAGTGGCAAACCAGAGAAAGATCGAACCAGCTGGGAAACAGTGAGCCATAGAGAGCTCAAATCATGGCCATAGAAAATATAAAGTTTAGTCAGTATTGACAACTCATTCAACATGGATAAATTTGCTTTTCAATTTAAAACATATGTAACTATATATATATTAACAAAAATATATTTAAAACGTTTATTTTTTTTATAARTTATAYCATTATAATYKTYTCTTYAATACMTTYAAAATGAACCAAATATCGAATATTATTGAATTTAATAATATTATTAAATATGATAAATACGTACTAATGTTTTTTAGCATTTTAATTCTTTATTTTTCATTTTACACCCTTATCTATCTATACTATATTATTTATTATTTTTATTAAATTTTAACTGTCATCTATGCATTATTTACAAGGTTTTAAAGCCCTCACCCCATCATTCCCTTCCTTTCCTTCATTTCTGACATTATAAAGTCGCACTATCTACACTTAATATTCATTCATTAACTATTTTACATTTTCAAGATGGTGTATGTTAAAGAGACTAATCAAGCATTTTGTAGATGCAATAAATTGTTTAAACTCACAGAGTAATTTCAATATCCAATACATCATGTCCTTTTACATATATAGTTCTATTTCGATAATTAAGTTCGTCTTACAGTTTTTACTTGTTTGAAAAATATAATACTATGATATTTTTAATGTTTACAAATACCGTTGATCTTTCAAATATGAGATGAAGACTGAAGTTGTCAAAACTAAGTACTCGAATTCTTTTGAGTTTGAAGGATGAACTATTTCTTTAAAAAAAGCCCTATTTGATGGATGATTTTTATAGACTTCAACCTTCGTATTTCTCATTTAGTTATCAAAATATCATTTTAATTGCAAACAACGTCATAATTTGAAGTGTAGAACATTTTATAAATAATTCATTAACTTTTTATTAATAAGAAAGTTTTATCTTTAGCTGCATTGTAGCGGATACAAAACTAGTATACACACACATATAGAGGTGGAGGTTCAAAATAGAACACCTCCATTTTACGAGAACGCGAAAACACTCTTATCACATGTGATAATACGCGTGAGGGGACCCTGTGATGTGCGGACGACATGTTCTGCAACTTAGCTTGCGCCAAAGGTTGTCCGCGTCTATGATTTAGCATCATATGTGAAGGTCTTGAATGAATTATAGTATCATATCAACAACACTTTTATCACATGCGATAATACATGCGAGAGGGCTTAGTGGTGTAAGGGCGACTTGGCCCGCAACCAAAATCGCATCGAAAATCTCACGTGTCTGATTTAGTATCACATGTTTATTATATGCGATAGAATAATAATATCATATGTGATTGTCTATAATAAAAAGATGTTATCGCGTTCTCGTTAATGAAGGTGTTTTCGTTTTAACCCTTATATATATATATATATATATATATATATATATATATAGGGGAGCGATCAAATGCAAACCACTCAATTTGTACAAACCGTGCAAACCGCATTCAACCAATCATAATTTTTCATTTTGTTCATTTTTTTGTAATTATGAGAGGTTGATTAATCATTTTTATTGTGGAG